GTTTTGTTATTACTACGAACTTTAAAAATTTCATATATAGTATTTTAAAAATATGTATTTATTTATTCTAATTGATAAATAAAAATTGTATATATTTCTCATGAACAATATCATGTTTTGAAATATGTGAACATTGTGGAATGGTTAAACCAAGCTAATTAACATGCATTGCATCACATACCATATTTTTGTGGTGAGAGCACTTGAAATCCATATGTAGAGATAGACTTTATATATCTATATAAATGTATAGGTTGTCTGTTTATAGAACTTTTTGTACAAAATATGAAGTCTGCCTCTCCCATTACTTATTAGTATAAAAGTGCAATGTACACATAATATTAAATTGAAGCCATGCTAAAGTCACTCTAAAAACACACTTATAATATTGACATTTCTGGTGTGCAGATATATTTTAGAAAATGTGAAGATGCCAGACATAATAACCTTTATGAAGAAAGATAATCATTAAATTACTAGTTTATTTTCATTGTGGGGATTTTGAAATCAATTTGATACAGACTAAACAGTGTATCTATATAGTAATGTTGAACAATTAGCATGGAAAATCCAAGTACTGAGAAACCTCAATAGGCCAAAATATTAAGTAATATTCTTGTCAAAAAAAAAATAATTCCAGTAGAGAGATAGGAAGAATGGAATCTAGAGTTCTATAGTAATATAGGGAGACTACAGTTAGCAACAAAGTACTGTGTCTCTTTGAATAGCTGGTCAAGATGACGTTGAATGTTCCCAACACAAAGAGGTGACAAGTGTTTGAAGCAACAGATATACTAAGCACCCTGATATGATCATTGAACACGGTGTGAATGTACCTAAATATCATATTGTACTCCATAAATGTATACAATTATCATAGATCAATTAAGAAAAATAAATTAAAAAGAGGGAGAAAAAAAGAGAGAAATAGAGAGTAGGATAGTGGTCACCGGAGGCAGGGAAAGGGAGGTGGGGGGGAGATGGGGAAAGGTTGGGAGACCAACTGGTACAAAGTTATGAAGTTAAAGTTAGATAGGAAGAATAAGTCCTTGTGCCCCAGGGTGACAGTAGCTAATAATATTGTATATTTCAAGACAACCAGGAAATAGGATATTGAATGTTATAACCACAAAGAAATGATAAATGTTTAGGTAATAGATGTTAACTA